GGGGAGCTCTGAGCCGGTCGCGCCGTCGTGCCTCGTCTGGCAGGCTTTCCGCCCCGCTTACCAGCCGCGCGGTCCCAGCGGGCTGGCGATGGGACAGGCTCCTTGTGCCTCAGTGCGCGGGCGCGGCCTCGGGCCCACAGCGCTGGGGCTGCTCCAGCCTCTCCCTGTGCGGGAGCACCAGGAATGTCTCTCTCCTCTACCCGGCTACTTGTTTTCAAAGCACTTTCTAGGAATGGCGTATTTCTGAGGCCTCTGTCTCCGAAACTGGCAGTGGATTTAGACAGTATTTTGAAGCGTGTTGTGACAATGATGTAGGAGAGCCCCTTCTAACACAAAAGGTAGATCTATGCCAAAAACCAGGTGTGAACTGCTAGGAAAAGGCTGAGACTTCCAGCTTTTGCCAAGATAACTGACCCAGTGCTGGGGAGGAGTGGGACACAGTGACTGCTGAAGTCTGTCAAAGCTGAAGGGTGATTCAGAAGAGGAAACACAGCTTACATTTACCCTCATAGACTGGCCCACTGGATCATCATCTGCCTTGAAATGTGGCTCCTTGATGGGCTTCACCTTCCTTTCTGTCAGAGTTTTCTAGAGGCTAAGTGTTTGGGACTTGCTTCCTTCTGGATGGCTCCTTTGTCATTAAAAGAAAAAGGAACTTGCTCAAAAGCAATGACTGGATATGTGTAGTCTCCACTTAATTCAGCCAATGTTTCGTATGTGGAGCACTCATAAAAGATCTGTATAATTCTGCAGTTTGAAATAACATGCAGTTACAAGCAGCTTTCTTAAGAAAAAGCTATTCAAATGGACATCAGGTAAGATAAGCAAGAACAACTTAATAACTTATGTTATTTGTCTCAAGTTGAGAATGTATTCTCAGGGTAATAGTAGACTTGTGTTTTACTCAGAGGGGAGCATCAAGCCTTTGTTGATGTTGGAACTACAAATTCAAGGCCAGGAATTCCCTATAAATCGGTAGCTCCACAGAGGATATTTCACAATTTGCACTTCTTTATGATACAGGCTCTCAGTTTATGTTAGTCCAGAGACAGAAATGGCAGCTGGATGTCTAATGTATGTGTCCAAAATGCTCTCTTTATATATTCCCATTTCATTATCTTCCTAAAGCAAATAATTAAAGCCACACAAGGCAGAAGTAACAAGAAAGCTGAAGCCTTGTTACAGAGTGCTGATTATTATTGTCTAATTTGGGGACTCATTTTCACTCCTCTTTGAACCCAATTGGTCATTTTCTGTTCACTTCTGTTTGGGCAGGATCAAAGTTATTGATAATTAACTGCTATCAGATTGTGCTGTGGATTATAAAAGATAAAAGAGGCAGCCAAGAGATGTCGTGAAGAAAAAAAATGTCTCAATCACCAGGAAAACGTGGCACAATTAATTTATTCTTTGACAAATAATGACTGTAGTCTCCAACTCCTCTAATGTAAGGTAATTTTCTGGTAGCTCAGTGAGTCTGCAGCCTGTACACTTGTGTGCTGTGTTTGAAGTAGCTTTTGTAGTGCATTACATACTGGCAGATTTTGAGAATCTCAGTAAGTCCTTTGATAACCACCTTTACTGTCTTCTGGTTCTCCTTTATTACTGCTGCTTTTGCAAGGCACTATGACTGTAACTCTTAACAAAATGCTGTCTTTAAAAGGATGAATCATCAGTTCATAGCTGCACTTCGGGAATGTTACTGTTGAGACTGTTCTAGTGCTGTCTGGAGACCTTTGCAGACAGAAACTCCAAGTGTTTACTAGGTGGCCAGCACTCTCAGAACAGCAGGTATTACAAATCAAGACTTTGGAGATTTTCTTTGCTCCTGAAAAAGGAGTTTTTCATGTCTTATGAGTTATTGTCTTGTTTATTGAGCAATGTTGATTTTCTTTTAAGAAAATCAGTTCTTGGGAGAAGAGGTTTGTTTTACTTCAAAATACGTGTTGTGGTGGTGTAGATATATGCACACGCTGGGGAGAAAATCTTAAAACTATGACAGCTATGCCTCATTGGCTCTATTGTCTGAATAGTTTGTCCTGGAGGGAGAACACTGGTTCACGGCTGGCAGGATGATGTAAAAGTAGATTATAGAGTCACAGAATCATAGAATGGCTATGGTTGGAAGGGACCTTAAAGATCACCTAGTTCCAACCCCCCCCCCTCCCCCCGCATGTGCAGGGACATCTCCCACTAGACCAGGTTGCTCAGAGTCCCATCCAACCTGCCCTTGAACACTTCTAGGGAGGCAGTATCCACAGCTTCCCTGGGCCAGTGTCTCACCACCCTAACAAAAAAGAACTTCTTCCTAATGCCTAACCTAAATCTACCCTCTTCCAGCTTAAAATCATTACCCGTTATCCTATCACTACACACCCTTGTAGAAAGCTCCCCCCTACCCCAGCTTTCCTGTAGCCTCTTCAGGCACTGGAAGGCTGCTGTGAGGTCTCCTTGGAGCCTTCTCTTCTCCAGGCTGAACCGCCCCAACTCTCGCAGTCTGTCCTTGTAGGAGAGGTGTTCCAGCTCTTTGATCATCTTTGTGGCCCAGATGAAGAACTCCTTATAAAATATCTTTGTATAGGACTGAATCAGACTTTGGAAAACCTATTTTGTTCCTGATCTTTATCTAATCCTTGGAGAAAGAGATATAATTAATTAGAATTGTTAAAAAGAAATGACAATAGCTAAGACAGGACAAGAAAATAATGAAAAATGCAACGTTTTCCAAGGCATATAAATGCTGACATGTTCTGAAATTTTATTTTTCTCCTGTGATTTCTTTAGTAATAATTGTTTTCATTTCCATAAGGCTTCCTTCAGTGATTTTTTGAAATAGAAAGCTATCTGAATCGTGCAGTTTGCCATGACTCTAGCATATGTGGGTGAGTATATCTACAGAAATTACAGAAAAACACCACAGAGAGATGACACTTCCCAGAACAGGCCACATTCAGCTTCCAAATAGACTTGGGCAACCACATTGAGAGGGGGTTGGGCTCCAGCTGGCTGAATAGTCTATTAATTTAGAAGATGCAGAAGACTTTCTCAGCTGTATATTCTTTGAAAATAAGTAAGGTAATAAGCACACTTACATTGTGTGCTTATCTTTGCCTGAATCTGAACTCAAAGCTAAATCAGTGTCTTTTACCAATTAACATTGTGTACACAACGTTTCTTTTTCTTCTTGTTCCTTTTAACATTACTTAGTTTCAGTCCTAGGATTTCACATACAGGATAACTCTTGATATGCCACAAGCTCTGCTTCTTCCATCTCCTTTTAGAGGATGAAAAAACATTAGTATGCTGGAAGTGTCTTTCAGAACTCAGTTTACAAAACAGCACACTGGAACGTGGGAAGTGGGGCTGTGCCTCATCAGGGCTGTATCTGCCCAAAGATGAGCTCATTATAACCACTTCATTAGTGACAGATGCTTGTCTATTTCTTCCTAAAAAACATCTATTGCTGGAAACTTCTCATCTAGTCCCAGCCAATTTCCAAAATAATGTCAGTATCTTTTTTCCTAATGCCTAACTGTATAAAGAGCTCAGTCCGTTCACTTATTCACAGCTGGTTTAAACAGTTGTTTTGATGCCCTGGATTATAACAGAAGGAAAATATGTTAAAAGAAGCAATCCTGCTATGGAAAATGTTGTCTGGGTGTCTCAAAGTACTATGCAAAATAGTGACAGTATTTGCCATTTACTCTGTCCCACTGTTTTGTGTTATTAACAGCTCATTGTTGCTTATCTCTCTAGACACTGGGACCAGTGTTGTTTAATATCTTCATTGGCAATATTGACAGTGGTATTGAGAGCACCCTCAGCAAGTCTGCAGATGACACTAAGCTGTGTGGTGTGGTCAATACACCAGAGGGAGGGAATGCCATCCAGAGAGACCCTGACAAGCTGGAGAAGTGGGCCCAGGTGAACCTCATGATGTTCAACAAGGTCTCTGTGCAAATAAGATTTTCTAGGCCCCACAAAGGTGTGGCTAGGATCGACCCACCATCACTTGTGCCTTTCCTGTAAGCACTGTTGCATAGTGATAGTGGCTGTACACAGTAGGTAAGGCTTTGAACTGGATTGAGCCTGGGGAGATCTTGATATCTAGTACAGGGTTACCTACAGAATGTTTTAAGGGGAACTTGCAAAATTACTGGGTTTGCCCAGTTTTGAAATAGAGTATTTTTCACATTGGGGATTTTTACTTAAGTGTCTGCTTGCAATGAGGGATATTTTGTAGGTATTTTGCCAGTGTTGGAAAGCTCGGAGGAAAGCTAGCAAGGGGGACAATTCATTAGCAGTAGTCCTATTCTAAGGACAGTCTTTAGTTATTTTGTGA